GATTACTGAGGGTCGGATCGCACCTCATGCCTGTCATTTCACACACAGGTGAGAAATTCCCCCGAGGAAATAAAGCTGAGCCACAGGAGCGAAACTGAAATTCACATGCTAGTTTCAGACCAAGATAAAGCAGATTCATATTTCATATTATATAAAGAGGAAACAACAATCCGTCTATGAGGAATAAACTTCCTTCATGTTACACTACTACACAACAATAAGCAGACATAATATGCCTCTTCTAAATAATATTTATAAGTATATATATATATATATATATATATATATAATTAATGTTATATATATTTTTTACATGATAACATAATTATAATTGTTTCATGATTATTGTGCATGTGCAGTTTAAATATAATGAAATAAAACTAAAAAGAAAAGGCACATGACCTAAATCATGCATTTTTATGCAAATTTTAACCTACAATTTTGTTGTAGAACAAAGTTTAAAATTAAGACCAAAGAACAAAGTAATAATTAAATTAATTCTATTTATTTATTTTCATATCATTAAATAATTGTACTAATTATTTTATGACTATTATGACCTCATGGAATATTTACACATGAACTAAAGATGTTTACAAATTATTTTAGAAATTTTATCAAATAAAACTAAACTAAAAAAAAAGGTATGTGACCTAAAACAAAACATCCATTTATAGCTATACATTAATTTAATCTACAATTCAATCAATCATCAAATGGACATGAGATATATCAATTCCTAATTATTTTATCATTATTATGGCGCAAATTAATCTAATTTCATTCACAAATATTTACACTTTTACTATGCTTATGCTGAAAACTTAGAACTAAAAACAAGTGGTATACGTGACCTAATATAAAGGCTACATTTATATACATTTCAACCTACAAATTCCTTGTTGAACGAACTTAATGGTCATGTTATGGCGGTCTGCGCTGGTTATAAATGGGTTTTGTGTATTTATGTGTTTTTTTTTATTTTTTTGTTTGTTGTGTCGCGCTTACCTGCGCTCCGTCTCGCGCCGCCGGACTCACGCAAACGCTCCTCGTCCTCCTCAGCGCGTGCCTCCGCCATACCGAGAGAAAGACGGTTTATTTACCGTCTAAAACACCAAGACAACCGATCGGAACGGCATTCCTCTTTGGGAACGCTTAGGAAAGTCGCTCCAACTGCGATCGAACTTTTAATCCAGCGGGTTAAGTTTCTCCTCCCGGATGAGCGGTCGAGTTTGATATTGTCATATGAATCGGGTTCTGTTTTCTATCTAAACGCCTCAAGAAACTCGGAGTGCAGTATCAGTATCTATTGTCAGGACGCACGAACGTCAACAGGAAGTTCTTCTGTCCATGTGAACGAAATGAGGGAGGCGCCAGACCGAACAATCGCTCCATTAGGATGAGGAGTTTGTGTGGATTAATGAGATGCACAGATGAATTCTGCAGTGTTTGTGTTTACAAATGCAAGTGTTCTTTTTTTAAACTCATAATGTCAAAATCTAGGCTACGTATTAAGCGCTGAAAACTCTGAAATAACACAAAGGGAAGTGTGGGAATGATGATGAAAACACGTGACAAATGAAAACTATATTCCCAGCAAACAACTTTTCTCCAACGTTCTCAAATGATTCCCGATTGTTTATTTTTGGGGGAATCAAATGGTTCCTTTTTTTTTTTTTACCAAAATCTTCCCAGAACCTTGCAGTTTTTTTGTTTTGTTTTTGTTTTTGTGACATAGAACGTTCCTTCCCTGTTGAAAAAAAACAGCATATGCTGGTTAGGTATGTTTTGACGCTGGGATGCTGGTTTAAGCTGGTGCTTTGCTGGTTTATGCTGGTCCTTTGCGCAGTGATTGCACCTGTCAATACTTCGGTGCCTGTCAATCCACCTGCAACAATGAATGTGCCTGCACCAACAAATCAGACTGCAACAGCACAGGCACCACCTGTTGGAACAGCCACTACACCACAAGGACCAGCACCAGTCGTCGTCTATCTCAAGTCAGAGCAGCCAAATAACAGAAGCTGGAACAGACAACACCAAGGGCGTGGCAGAGGAAGATTTAACAACAATCAGCAAAACGTTGGTGGCCCACCGGGAGTGTGTTGGGGATGCTATCAGCCTGGACATAACAGAAGAGATTGCCCCATCAATCCTTGGCAATATAATCAACCAATGGCCCCAGGAGCCAACTATGGACAGCAACAAGTGCAAGCTCAAGCTCAAGGTCCTGTCAACCCATGGCGTGGACCTAACCAAGGAATCAAGGGAATACTAGAGCAATTTAAGGCCAAGAATGAGATTAAATATGGATTTGAGTCAATATTCATATAGATAACTTCTATCAAGAATATAGAGCGGATAAACTATATTTATTGTAATTAGCAGATATTTATTAATCAACAGAGCTAATTGTTATTTTTAGGTTTTATTTTTGTAACCAGACCAAATTAACGTCCAAAGAACGTTGCAGGGATGTTTTTATGACGTTGAAAAGAGAACCTTCATAGAATGTTGTTTTACATTTAGCCTATAACCGGATAATTAACGTTCCCAGAACATTGCGTGGATTCTATTTATTTATTTACAGACTAAAGGGAACCTACATATAGAACGTTTATTACCAGACCAACCAACCAGAACGTTCTTGGCACCAAAAATTATATATTTGACCTTCTTTTCTAGATTCCAGCTTACTCTGCACATTCATCAGCCAGCTTTACCAGGTCCTTTTAAACACTAATAACGGAGAAAGGTGAGATTCGCACTTCATTTTTCCAAAAACTATCAAACTATCAACAACATTTCCGTGTTTGTCTGAAGTCGAAAGCCTCCACGCGGTGGCGCTGTTGCTCGCGTTTCTGTTTCGCGAAACATTTAACGCAAGTAATTTGTGCGTCTGTGTGTAAATAGGCTATAGCGATGCGAATATCCATAACGAACGTATAACATGAATATGACTGACTGTTTATGAGACATTTGTTGTTTTAATGAACCATAGACAGTAGCGAGCAGAGATCTGCGCATGTCTGAGCGTCCAAGTGAACTCTTGTCCTTAAAAATCGGTTTTATTCGAGGATAAAAGATTTTATCTGACATTCATGGCGTGTATAAATCACGAGCACACAATAACTGACAGCTGTCATTAAAGGCTTTAATGGGACAGGCTTTAGACACACACACACACACACTCTCTCTCTCACACACACACACACACACACACACACACTCTCTCACACACACACTCTCTCACTCACTCACACACACACACACACACACACACACACTCTCTCACACACACACTCTCTCACTCACTCACACACACACACACACACACACACACACTCTCTCACACACACACTCTCTCACTCACTCACACACACACACACACACACACACACACTCTCTCACACACACACTCTCTCACTCACTCACACACACACACACACACACACACACACAGGCTGTAATCACTCTAATCTCTCTGAGTGTTTGGCTCTGTTCTGCTCTCCCAGTATTTCTCAACACACGAAGGGCTGTACTTTATGTCAAACTTTGTTCATAGTATTATTCAGGTTTGGTAAAACAGAACTTCATGAATTATGGATCCTTCAGAGGATAATCCAGTTTGATGGAAATACAGCAGAGGCCAAGCTGCGTCACGAGAGGAACCCCGGTGAGTTTCAGCTCAGCTTTCTCTCAAATCATAGCCTATTATTACAGAGGATTCAGAATCTGAGTCACTTTATTACATTTTATAAGTCTCTGAACTCTGAAATAAGTGATTGTGGAAGTCGTCAGTATGATATAGTTCCCATACAGCAATTCTCCAGCTGACCAATGGATAATTAAATTATACAAAAATAGATTCAGAGGTGTTATTATATCCAGGCACTGGTTAAAGTTGTTGATCAGTTTTATTCATAGAAAAGACATCAGCATTAGACCTAAATAAATAAAGTGTTTGTGATGAAATGTATGCATGTCACAATAATATTATTCAGTTGTAGTTTCTCATTCATGGCGTTAGTCTTTTAATTCTAATGTTGAATGCATGTAAAGTAACCTCAAAAAGTATTTGAACACTATATGGTTATCATTATTGTATTTTAATTAATATTTTTAATTAGTTATCGTTTATATATTTTCTGTTTTGATTTAAATTTTTGTTAAAATTGTAGTAATTTAATTTTTATTTAAAATATGTCTATTTTATTTATCTATTTTTGTTCCAGTTTTAGTTATTTAGTAAACCAACTTAAACTTAATGAAAATGAGCAACTATAGCTGAAATAAAATAAGTTCAAGTTTTTAGTATTTAATTTTAATATTTATATTTCATTTTATATTTCGTTTAGCTTAAAATAAAAGAATACATTTTTTATGTTTTCTAAAAAATATTTTTATTGCAGTATTTAGGTTATATTTCATTTCTTTAACAAAATATGTTTTGATGGTTTTAGTTTTTGTTAACTACAATAAGACTTCCGTACAGTCAGAAATGTCTCGTTCATTAAATAACAAAATATCAAAGCAAGCAGTATTTGTTTTAAAGAAGTTGCAGAAACGCTCTTTGTGCATCCGTTTGACAAAAATAAGTAGATCAAGCGTTGAACATGAAGACGGTGACTGGATCATGATTATAGTTCGTGATTATTAGTTCTCTATGAGTGAACGCGAGAAGAACTGACAAGTGACTAATCAGACAGAGATCAGATAAAAATGTCTAAATGATGTAAAGTCAGCTTTGCAAACACTCAGATTATCTGCAAACTGGGACAGAAATAGAGATTAATCTTCCTTTTGGCATTTTGGTACAGTGCTTGTACAGAGTTCTGTTCATCTGAACCTTTTTCCGATTTTATTTTATTTGACTTGCTTTATATCCATGCAAGTAGATGAGATCGAGAATGAAAATTGTGATGGTTTCTATTCATCAACCACTTTGATCATAGACCAGATATGTTGTTGTGCTTTTTGTGTATTTATCATCACAGCTGAACACACACACAGGTATTGAATTCAAAGCAACAAAAGAGCTTTACAAAGCAAACAGATACACAGAAGATCTATTTATTAAACGGCATCTGTGCATCCACAATCTATTTTGCATACACGATGCCATGTCTCTGAGTGAAACTGGATATTGCGTGAGATTTTAAGGATTTAATTAATCAGGAATTGATTGCATGGTGAAAAGTGTTTGTATGAAGGTGGTTTGGCGATATTACTTGTATAGGAAATTTTAATAAAAAATAACAATATATTTTCAAATATTTTTTGTATATACTTTCTATATTTATTTTTAACATTCACTAAGGAATATATAATATGCACTGTAAAAAAAATTCCGTAAAATTTACGGTAAAAAACCGGCAGCTGTGGTTGCCGGAATTTTACCGTAAAAAATACGGTATATATAAAATATAATGTTATATATATTATATAATTTTTGCATATATTTATTTTTAACATGCACTAAGGAATATGTGTTATTATATATAATTTATTATTTTTGTATATATTTATTTTTAACATGCTCTAAGAAATATATTATACATAAAATATAATGTTATATATATTATATAATTTTTGCATATATTTATTTTTAACATGCACTAAGGAATATGTGTTATTATATATAATTTATTATTTTTGTATATATTTATTTTTAACATGCTCTAAGAAATATATTATACATAAAATATAATGTTATATATATTATATAATTTTTGCATATATTTATTTTTAACATGCACTAAGGAATATGTGTTATTATATATAATTTATTATTTTTGTATATATTTATTTTTAACATGCTCTAAGAAATATATTATACATAAAATATAATATATATTAATATAATTTTTGCATATGTTTATTTTTAACATGCACTAAGGAATATATCATATGTGATATTATATATAATTTATTATTTTTGTATATATTTATTTTTAACATGCTCTAAAAAATATATATAAAATATAATGTTTTATATATTATATAATTTATGTATATATTTATTTTTAACATGCACTAAGGAATCATTCACAATAAGACCGAATGAGTCTCATGTTGACTCCAGCGCACATGTGTTCCTGCTGTGCGTCTCTCCACCGTCAATCATCAATCCTCTTTACTGCAGGAAATGAAATCACAGCGCTGTCTTCTGCTGATTATCAGGACTCGTAACGCCGAGCATCAGATTAGTTCACTCGCAGATCAGTCTGCTGGATTTGTCTGTATATTTTTCTCTCTGTGTCTGATGAACTGAACTCTGGTTTGAACCCAAGTCACATTTACTTCTGTAGCGCTTTATACAATACAGATCGTTTCAATGCAGCTTTACAGGAAAATAACTGTGTCAGTGTTGTAAAATTCAGCAGTTATGAAACAAATTCAGTTTCAGCTGTACAGGAGAAATGAAATCATTCACCCAAAATGAAAATCTGCTGAAAATATCCTCATCTTCAGGACATCCAAGATGTATTTGATTTAGTTTCTTCATCAGATTTGGAGAAATGCAGCATTGCATCACTGTCTCACCAATGGATGTGAATGGGTGCCGTCAGAACGAGAACAAGCTGAAACAAATCCAGCATTAAGATGCTTTTAACTAAAATATGAGTCCATAATCCATAATAACACTTCCTCCAGTGAAAAAGTGCATCTGCTGTTGTCTCTCACATCAAAATCCAGCCACATATGTGTTTAGAGCTGTTTAAGCGCTGCTTGATCTGTGCAGATTTCTCTCCTGATTCAGACCAGAACACTTTTTCACTGGAGGAAGCGTTATTATGGATTATGGACTCAATGTATTTGACTTAAAAACGTCTTAATGCTGGATTTGTCTCAGCTTTAGTCTTCTCCAGATGTTAACTGATGGACTGGAGTGCTGTGGATTACTTGTGGATTATTGTGATGTTTTTATCAGCTGTTTGGACTCTCGTTCTGACGGCACCCATTCACATCCATTGGTGAGCAATTAATGGAATAATGGAACTCAATATGTTATTATTGCATATTGTTTTATAATGTACTACAATACTGAGGTGCAGATTGCCAATAGTTGCAATAAGTGGTATAAATAGCAGAAAATCCTGCTATTTTAACATAGTTTAAATAGAATTCATTGCTATTTGCACTTAGTGTAAATAGCAACTAATTGCGATTTCGTCGCCTTGGAATTATAAGGTTCTATCTGACATTTTTGTCAAAATGGAGTTATTCACATATTCTTATTGTGTGACAACTTATTTACATTATGCGATGTTTCTTTTGTAAGCAGTGTACATTTTGGGCTTTTTTTAGAAAACAAAAAGGGTTCTATCTACAGAAGTCTATGGAACACAAAAACTTTGAAGCTCAATTAAAAAACCTTATAATTCCAGGTGGCGATTTAGCCTAAATCTTTCTCTCTCTCTTGTTCTCAGTGCTTGTCCAGCTGCCATGGCTGCACTGAGGTAAGAATTCCTAGGAATGCTGTGGAATGTTTGGAATGTCGGAGAAGGGGCCTCCACCCTGTAGTGTGTGCTGCTGTAGGGTGGAACCGCAGCACTCTTCCTGCTCTAGTAGTGCAGAACTAGAGCCCTTCTCATGAACATATCAGACGTTTACTGCGACCGTTTCTCTCTTATCTTCATGTGAGCTGTTTGAAGCAGTCACTCTTACTCCTGCAGGTCCTGCATGCTGAGATGCCCTGAGACAGAGAGTGACGCCCATCAGAGCTGCATGATGGTCTAGCTCCGCCCACTCTCTGTCAGGATGCTAGCCTCTGTGGTCTCTGGAAATAACGGAGGGCGAGCGCTGACCCTGAAGGGCGTTGACCCGGAAACATGTATGATCGTCTTCAAAAACCACTGGACACAGGTATATAAACATCTATCTATCTATCTATCTATCTATCTATCTATCTATCTATCTATCTGTCTGTCTGTCTCTATCTATATGTCTGTCTGTCTCTGTCTATCTATCTGTCTCTATCTATCGATCTATCTATCTGTCTGTCTGTCTGTCTCTATCTATGTCTGTCTGTCTGTCTGTCTCTATCTGTCTGTCTGTCTGTCTAAAATATATGAGAATATTAATGAGACTCAGAAACTTTATCAGGCTGATTTGCTGTTAGTCAATCTCAGTAAACTCTCTCTGGTTGGGTCAGGTTCTGAGGATCCTGGAGAAGCACGATCCGGTTCGCGGCGGTGCCGTTGCTCTGCGGTTCGGCCCGATCCCCGGCGACGAGGCGAGCGCCGTACAGAACTACGTGGAGCACATGCTCTTCCTGCTGATGGAGGAAGAGAGCGGTCAGGGCGGGGCCATGGGGACCATCCTGGAGTTCGTGGTGGTGGAGAACGTGATGGAAAAGCTGTTTCTGTGGAGTCTGCGGCGCGATTTCACCGACGACATGAAGCTGGAGCAGCTGCGCATGTACAAGATGCTGGTGGCGCAAGCCAAACAACCGCTGCTACACCACAAACCCATCCTCAAACCTCTGATGATGCTGCTGTCTGCCTGCTCCAGCTCCTCCACCGTGGGGCCCTCATCCTCCTGCACAGTGGTGCCCAAAAGCAGCAGCTCCGCCGCAGGGCTCATCTGCGCCATGGGGCCCTCATCCTCCTGCACTGTGGGGCCAAAAAGCAGCAGCTCCGCAGCAGGGCTCACCTGCACCGTGGGACCCAGCAGCTCTGCGGTGGAGGTGGAGCTGGTGTCTCTGCTGCATCAGCTGTGCCGAGCGCTGGTCAAGGAAGCCTCCGTGCTGGAGCTGTTCTTCCATAGCAGTCAGGATCAGGGAGCCGCCAACTTTCTGCTCTTCTCTCTGCTCATCCCGTTCATCCACCGCGACGGGACAGTCGGTGCGCATGCCAGAGACGCCCTCACCCTCATCATGAGCCTCTCGTCTCAGAACAGCCTGGTGGCCAAACACATCGTGGAGAACACCTACTTCTGCGCGGTGAGTAATATGATTTGTTCTGAATGGTGTTTCTCTGTGAGAAATTGGTTTTAGTTCATTGCTATCCGTTTTTCAAAAGTTATGTAAATGTTAGGACAAAACGCTCTTAAAGCAATGTTTAGGGAATGTTCTTATAACATTAGTAATATTCGATCGATGTTCTCATAACGTAGAGAGAAAACACTGTTAATCAAATGATTCGCAAACCCGGTCCGAAGTTCCGATCTGAATCAAATGATTCGCGATAAGCGATCTGATTGGAGCACTTCAAAACAATGAATCATTTTATGACGCAATGGTTCGATAAAATGATCAAATAATTTGAAAAGCTCAGTTTCACCCATCACTGCGTGCTTCATTACAACTACAAGCAATGTTGAAATTCGAAAATGAATGGCTCTTTTGAACTGGTTTTTGCTAATGAATCGAGTTCGAGTTTGAATCAGTCGGATCGATTCCAATGTAAATGACTCACTCAATTGAATCAGTTTATCTGTTGCTCCGCTTTTCTCGTCTTCAGACATGTTTACATGACACTGTGAGTACTGGCATAGCTCGCTGGTTTTATGACATTAACAGATATAAGCAAAAAAAAAAAAAAAGTATGATGTGATGTGATCTAAGCGTTCTCACAGGAGAGTAGAAATGGAGAAGATCTGAAATGTACGGTAGCCGAGAAGTGCAAAACAAATCACAATTCTGAAAACTGGCAAAAGGTGAGATCGAACCCGGGTCGATCGCGTCAAAAAGCCAACGACACTCGCTTATCCATCTGCACCACTGGAGATGATGTTTTACAGTCACTTTTAACTAAATGTAAATAGACACCCCGTATTTTTTATTCCATAGTAAGGGCAATTCAAACAATACATTTAAACTGAGCTTCTTTAATACCATCTCCGAACTTTCTACCACGACTCTGCTGTTCTTCGGCTGGTTCTTCCTGTATACGTTGATTGACAGATGTCTCGTCCAGTCAGCGGTGAGTAATCCCAAACCAATGGAAAACCTTAAAATCAACTCTGAATTTATCAGGTAACCAGTGAAGTGAAGCTAACACAGGGGTAATATGCTCCTTCTTTTTTGTTCCTGTCAAAAAACGAGCAGCGGCATTCTGTACCGAGTGTAAACGCAATAGTGAAGACTAGTTAATTCCAGAATAAAGAGCGTTGCAGTGAGGGAATCTGTCTGTGACTGCTGATGCTGGTCAACACTAGAGATTAGCTGTTATGCAAGACTGTTAATATGATGATTACACAGGAAACACTGCAAGAGGAAGGGGAGGATCCTTTCACATCTCATCCAATCAGAGAGAGACCGCATGCTGTTTGTTTATAAAGACGTTTTTTTTTTTTATTCTCAGTGTTTGTGTTCAGGGAGAATTGGTCTGGATTTTAATAGTTGCACGAAAACAATCAATTCATATTAGCATCTAGTTTTTATTAAATGAATAATTAGGTAGTTCTGTGAAATTTATGACGGTGTGTGTGTGTGTATTCTCTCTCTCTCTCTCTCTCTCTCATATGTATTAATCTGTTATGGTTTTAATCCCAGTCACAGGATTGTGTGTGCAGGTTTTTGCTGATGGATTATGGGTGGTGTGTTTTTGCTCTGACCCAAATAAACTGCTGTGCTGCTGAACACACCATAAACAAGCAAGACACCTTAGTGGTGTGTTTTACACAGGCAAAGTGTGTCATATAGATGAGAAGGTGTGTGTGTGTTTAATGTGTGTGTGTGTGTGTAGGTGTTGGCCACGGGTCTCAGCGGTCTGTATTCCGGTCTGCCGGCTAAACTGGAGGTTTACAGCGAGGGCTGGTTCTGTCTGGAGAGACATGACTGGCTGCAGCTTCCAGCGCTGTTACAGTTCCTCAACTCACTGCACTTCTGCAGCACTGTGTGC